TAAAGCCCAACCTGCAGAATGTCGTTCGAGAAATGAGATGGTGTAAAACAGAATTTAAACTATGAGAAAAATATAGGGAAAAGAGTAAAATGCCTTCAAGGCTGCTAAGGCCAAGCATTCCTCAGATTGCTCGACCGACAGCTTGGGAACAGTGAAATTGTTGAAAAAAGAGGAGGTAGACCAAATCTGGCTTGCCGAACATCCACCTTTTTCTACAACTTCATGAACCGGATCCGTCAGTGAGATCTGATCGACCTGGCCAGATAGATGGACGGTGGGCATATCACCCGCACCCTGACCAGTCTCCTGAGCATCCTGGAAGTGCTCAGGAAATTGATGCATCTGATCAGAACCAAACTGATCGTCGACCAACATGGCATCAAATTGGTCCTGATGGACCTGTTGCAGTGGTTGTGGCTCTGGAACGGGTTGAGAAGTTCCGACATCCTGAACGGTAATTGTGGAAGGAGTAGGTTGGGGGTTCTTCCTGGCTTTCTTCCGTTTGCCGACCCCACCAGCTGCAAGAACTCTACTGTTGTCCATAGGTGCGTCTGGGTTGAGAGCTAGAAAATAAAAAAAGGAAAATATTAGTACCGAGCGGACCTTAGCACGTGGGAAACAAGAAAGAAGAAAACGTTTCTCGCACGGGAAGGACCGGCCGGACCATGGCACTTGATTTCTCAAAACAAGTAAACCCAAGAGAACGGGCTGCACCTATCCCGGCTTTAACAAGCCGATCGGGAGTCAGGTAGATCATGATATCGCAACACTTGTCTTTCTCCACAGCAAGTACATCCTTGTAGATTTCCTCAGAAAGAACTGGGTCGGGAGTCTTGCGAGGGAAGGCGTTCCATTTGCGAGGGATCAGCCCGTCCGAGACAGACACAAAGAAGAACCTATCTTTCCATCCCTTGATTGAGGTTGGATTACCCTTGAACAGAATATGTCCCGTTCGAGAACTGGCGGTTAGATACCCATGAGTTTGTTGGGGGGATACTTTAAAAAATTGATGGAATAAATCTAGGGTCAGCGAGGCACTGACATCTTTGCAACGACAAATAAAGCCTGCCATTGCCCGATAGGAGTTCGGCATGACTTGGGCAGGTACAATTTCGTAAAAATTGAAAAATGAAACAAAAAAGGAGTGTAACGGAAATCTAAGCCCAACCCTAACTGAATCGAAATGGACTACGACCATCCCGGGGGCGTGACGCAGGGGATGAAGCCAAGCTCGCAACCGGAAGTCCACTGGGTCTGGGATTAGGGCCGAAATTTCGGCCCTATTATTGGCAGTCAATTTTTGCCGTCTTACCCTAATTAAACTTAGGTCGAGTGTGTGACGGGGGACATCGTTTGGGCATCCAGCCGCCATTAAATCCATTTCATCCTCGGATTTCATGCCATCAGAGTTTTCACCGGAGGAAGATGAACTGCTAGGAAGGTCCTCCGCCTCCGCCCTAGTATTTGTCACCGTTACAGTGGAACCACCGGCGAATGGAACGGTAATGACGTCCACAACGGCAACATCACGATCATCCCCTTGAGAGGCCATTTTCGAATCAGGGGAATGCGGTTGAGAACTCATCTCGACCGAGCCAGAAATGAAGTAAGAAAGTAGAGGGAGGGAAAGTACTTGAACACGAAAGCTTGAAGAAATTTCAGAGACAGAGCAACGATGCAAAGGAAATTGAAAATTCAAAACCCGGAATTGAGAAGTTAAAGGCTAATTTATAGCCTTAAAATCGCCGTATCGAGGACCAATCAGGGAGCGACACGTCACTAGAACCATTTAAGCTAAACGTGTGTCTAATGAAAAGACTAACGACAGTAATCATGATGAATATGGGGAAAATAAAACGACAGCCGTCAAATCACAGTATGGGGAACTGACCACTTTTGTACCCCGATCGCCATTCGGCAATTGCAACATTGGTGTTTATACTTCCTAATGCACTCACTGTCATTCGAGACATCGGAAGTGGGGGACTTGTGTTGGGATATTGACCCGGAGGCCCAATACCTGGATTAAAAAGGCCCAGTATATCCAGCCCAAACAACGAGTCCATTACCCTATGATGAGTAGGCCCAGTGAAGAATCCATACCGAACGAGGTTCGGTCCAAGTAGAGGCCGGCCCAGAAAGCAGAAATACCGAACGGAGTTCGGATCATACATCATACTTGGGCCAATTTGACAGCGTCTTCCGCATGGTCCAGCATCCCGTTCGAGCAACGGGCAACCAGCGAGTGGCCAGGTACAATTAATGCCAGATTGTGACATCAGCAAGTGAAAAAATGGGTGATCAAGTCGGTGAAACAACAGCCAATCAGCATAGGGCAGCACATACTCTCCATTAGTATAAATAGAAGGTTTAATATCATTGTAAGGGTTAGGATTTTGATATTCAAGCTCTAGAATAGTGTTATTACTCTTGTTTCTTGTATTAAAAGCACTGTTCCGACGTATCGATCGGGAAGTTTCCTTGTAATCAGACAGGTTAATTAATACAAATGGGATTTTGGGTATTAGTTGATTCATCTTTTATATTTTGTTATACACTTCGATTCTGATCCATTCCTGATATATCCAAAGTTCGTGTTGGGCTTTCGGATCTACGTGACATAACCTCAACACATATTAAAGTGCCAGTTTTAGGTTCTAAAAAAAACTGAGAAATATGTATTGAGATCAGAATATATGACCTCGTGAATATATATATTTTTTGTGTTGAGTTTATTTGAAAATTTGTATGGTTTATTTTATTTGTGTGACAAATCTTCCATAAGATAAACAACATGAATATATATGATGGAGTATATTCTCATATACCCCAAGGTATAACATTTATGGGTAAACAATCTCCCGAATTCACTAAGTACAAAGTTCCCATCGAGGCCGAAGTCGGGTCCAACATTTAACTCCCAGGGTGTCGAGATAAGGCTAAAACTTCACCTGAGGCCGAGGTCGGCCCTCGCCGAGTTCAACGTCAAATCCGGAGTCATAACCGAGTTTGAAGTCAAGTAGTGCTTAACGAAGTCAATGGAACAAAGAAAGCATCATCACTTTGCATGCAACAAATTGAGGTTGCTCTTCCCCAAAGATCGCACTACACCTGAGCTCGACCTCACCTACTGATCTTGGGACCTCATAAAGAAGATGCAGACTTAGACATTCCAGCACTCAAGATCCGCACATAATTTTCGATACGTCACCCACATGACACTTGTCCAAGGCTTACGTCACCCAGACGGTTTTATACAGAAGATTCTGGATAGCAAACGTGTATCTCGCACATGCATTCTAGTATAAAAAGGACGAATTCTGTTACACACAGTACCAATCAGCCAGTTGTTTCCATTCTCTTGCCAATTAAATATCACACGTGTCAACACCACATTAGAATATCATATTTTTACTTGGCAAAATATTTTACTTTGTAGTAAATACCACCTTCCAGTATGTGGAAAGAGATCTGATTTTCTCTGCGCATAGCTTACTGTTACTCTGTCGCAATTCATGCTCAGTTTTACTTGGCACTTTCAGTGTCTCCCATCTCGGATTCCGCCTACCCCAGGGTCGGAACTCCATCAATATATATAAGATAAGTTCATTCGAAAAGATAAGTTCATTCGAAAAGTTATTTCTCATACCATCTTGACATGCATATTCGATAAGTTCATTCTCCCTTCCATACTCTCATAAAATAGTAGATTTAATCTTGTAATTTTATATTGTGCCTGCTTTTAGTCTTAAAATTTTAATCACTTACACGTGATTATGTAAGTAATACTTTTATCCACATTAAGGATTTTTCCATTAGAATGTAAACTTTCAATGAAAAATATGAAACCAATGACATTTTTTCTAGGATCGTTTTCACGGAAAAGTGCATTTTACAATAGAAGTTCTTGGATATATTTATTAGTGAGACAACCAAATATTCGAGTGATACAAATATTCGACTAACGGGAAGTGCATTTGAAAACTAAGGGACTGAATACCAATTCTAGGTACCAAATTTGAACTACCGAGTACTCTTTAATGGGGGTTTTCAATGTTTAGTTAATTAGATTAAAATTTTGACTCATATATTGCACAAAGTGAATGTGCTAAATACTTCATCTTTCCCGCCAAAATTGTCCTATATTTCCTTTTTGGTCCGTTGCACTAGATTGTCTCAAATTAAATTTGGTAAGTTTGTGTGGTTCTAAGCCATCATTACTTTATTTTTTAATTTATCAATTCAATATCAATCACATAAACCCATTTTTCTTAATAACTGCACTACATCTTCATGTTTCAATGTTAGTTGGACGGAGGTAGTAATGTTTAAAACGTGAGAGTTAAAACAATGTTTTGTACAAATAAGGTTAGTACGATAGTATTTATTAACAAGGCATTTGCTATATTTTTATGTAAACCCAGAAAATTAAAAGTCCTCATTACATATAGATGAATAATGTAAAAATAAAGTTCATTGTCTTCCTTCAGCGATTTTTAATGGCATTTTTTTTGGGTTTGAACTTTTTTAATTTAATTTAAGATCTTGGACTTTTATTGTGTTTCTAATTATTATTATCTTTATGATTTTTTCTTGAATTGTACCTTATTTATCTAAATATAAAAAGTGTTAAATAGCTATATAACATATATAAACAATAGAAGTTAAATTAGTAGATTCTATTTTGACATTTTCAATCAATAGTATTGATATTCTCACAGAGAAACGAATGTTTACGGGAGTATTCTTTGAAGACATTGAATACATACCATATTCTTAGGAGATTTCTCTCTTTCATGTAACTGAATAGACTTTACCTTTTATTTGCACAAAATTATCAAAATAGGAAAGTGTTATTACAAGGAGGTGATGAACAAAGAATGACATTCTTTCCATGCTGCAAGTCACTCAATTTGTACTCTTCAACTAACTCTAACTTAAGCAATGCTTATTTTCCTCTCCACATGCTTCATACCCTCAAATTCTATGATCACTTATATTACATTTCGTTAAACACCCTTCTCTAGTTTGCCCGTCTTCCTCCTTGGTATTTGCATGAACAAAGTTAAAGATGGCGGGGTTGAACGTTAAATCAGTACATTTTCATGTTGTGAACAAAAATGGCTCAAATCACTCTTTGGAGGGTTCAATGTCCTATCATGGATTCATCAAAATGTTATCCGAACAAAATTATTGGGGTTCTAGAACCAAGAAGTTTAGAGTTTTCTGCAAGGCAGAGGTGTTTATCTTTGGGGCTTATTATTTGATGCCAATTTTTATTTTCTAATTTATAAAAAGCATGATAGTTAGCTTTTAATTCAAGGCAACATTGTTGGATAAGTACATCTTAGTTTTTCATCACACTCCCTCAATCTTACCAAACTCATAGTGCATATGTTTTACTTTTCTTGGTCATTTTAATTTCACTCTATCCTCTATTTTTAGTATCAACTTGGAGTCGTTTTCAATTTAGTCTAATCTATAAATATATAAATTTTTGATATTAACATTAATTTGGAAAAAACATCAATTTGAAAATGAGTTTTTTCCATTTTTGGTCCCCCGAGTATTATTTCAATGACACTTTTGATACTCGACTTCTAATTTTTCCATTTTTAGTCATCAACTATTGTGCTAGAGACATTTTTAGTCCCTGACTTCAAGATTTCCCACATTTAGTCCCTGAGTATTGTCGAATCGACACTTTTAGTCCTCTCATTATGATTTTGACACAATAAGTGGAGGACTAAAAATGTCACTATTATAATAGTTGAAGGATCAAAAGTGTCACTTTTATGAAAGTTGAAGGACTAAATATGGAAATTTTCAAAGACGGGTACCAAAAGTGTCTCTAGCGCAATAGTCAAAGACTAAAAATGGAAAAAATCAAAATCGAGTATCAAAAATGTCAATGACATAATAGTCGGAGGACTAAAAGTGGAAAAAACTCATTTGAAAATTATCATGTAAGAGGTAATTTTATTGTAGGTCTGATGTTTTTTATGCAAATTAATTCGGGAAGGAGGATTACATTTTTAATTCCAAGTAAATGCATGGTGCTCCTTTTAAGATGATGGAAGTTCAGGTCAGAAAGTGTTCACCAATTTTGGAAAGCATGTTTTTGTCGTGGAATGAATTGTTGCAATCATCTGAATGGAAAGCAGTTCCTGATATCTGGAATACGGCAGCGGAGAAGTTCGGAAATCAAGTAGCATTAGTGGACCAGTACCACAATCCTCCAACAAATATGAGCTATAAGCAGGTCAGTTTGTTTGAATCTTTTTTGGATACAAACAAGAATATAACTTTAAGGTATACCGACCTTCAACGTTATATAATACTTCCTTCGTTCTTTAATTATTGCAACATTGTGACTTTTGCACTATTCACAGACCTTACTTTGACCACGATTTTCTACTAATATACATAATCAAATTATTTCGTATAAAATGTTATTGAATTCATATCAATGTGAATTTCCATAATATCAACTTTTTATAATGTCTACTAATACATAATTAAATATAATTACAATCAAAGTTATGTGTTGGCAAACGTGAAGGTCAAAGTGTTGCAAGAATTAAAGAACGGAGGATAGATCAATAATAACACGCGATTTGAAAATCAATTTAAGTCGTTTTTAGGCAATAACAGTGGCGGTGCCAGAAATGATACGTTAGGGGGATGGGTTTAAAGAATTTATATTATATATTGGGGTCAAAGTTTAAAATTTCACAATATTTCGTACTACCTATAAATATTTATACATATGTATATACATCACAATTTTTATCTTGGGGGTCGATGCCCCCCCCCCCCCTATCTCCACTCTTAGGAAATAACAAATGTTTGAATCTATCACATAAATAATATAAGCTTATTTACATACTGCTAATTAATCTAGTCACTTAACCATCATGAATACCTAAAAAAGTATGTTTTAAAATGGAGTCACTTGATGGTTTCATATCGGTTTTTGATAAGTTAAATAACCAGATGTGTTATAAAAAGTGTTCATGTACTACGTATGATGTTTATTATATTATTTAAAATTATTTACCCTGTATCAAAACTATAATGTAAGAAGTGATTCAGCGATATACTGATAGATATGCTTATATATGGATGTTTATATTTCAATGTTTTAACTTTATCATTACTATTTAATTTGGCACCAAATGATTTTTATTCGGTCTCATTTTCTTTTATTATTTTTATTCTCGAAACTACAGCTTGAGATGGAAATAGTGAACTTTGCTGAAGGGCTTAGAGTTGTTGGCTTAAAACCGGATGAAAAGATTGCCATATTTGCTGAAAATTCATGTAGATGGCTAGTTGCAGATCAAGGTACTCCCTTTTCACTCACCATATCAATCCTCAAATTTGTACTTAATGTACTTTTTAATGCATTGTTAAATTTAAAATAACAAAGTAGATAAATAAGGAGTATGTTATATTACATAATTAAATATGACTATGACTATAGTAGTAATTTAATCATAATAACTTATGTTCAAACTTTGAACTTAAGTGACCATGACACTATATTACAGTAATAATTGGTCATACGTAGTATTTGTATAAATAAGTTTTATTTTAGTAATATTTTTGAAAAAAACTATTACATAATATATGTTATTTTATTCAGAAAAGTCATTGCAATGAATCCCTTAGGTATAATGACCACTGGAGCTATAAATGTTGTGAGGGGTTCAAGGTCTTCAGTGGAAGAGCTTGTGAAAATATACACTCATTCAGAAAGGTGAGTCAATATGTTGTTAGGGGTACGTTCAAGGTCGTTATCAATTTCTATTTATGTTAATTAACCTGGACTAACATGTACTTATATCATTAATTTAACTTTTAAAAGTTGATATCTCTTCATGTATCTTTTCTTTTGTACAAAAGCTGAATGTTTGTGTTTGCAATATAAAAACATGCCATAATTTGTGTCACTTTATTAACAGTGTTGCACTTGTTGTTGACAATCTTGAAATGTACACTCGAATCGCAAAAACATTGCACTCTCGTGCAGATGTAAGATTTGTTATCTTACTTTGGGGAGAAAATTCAAGTATCACAAGTGAAGTAATAGATGGATTCCCCACATATAGTTACACAGAGATCTTGGATTTCGGGAATGATAGTCGTACAACATTTCTTCAATCACAAGAAGCGAGTAAGTGGTTTTACTAGACAAGTGATTTCTTAAGCCGCTATTGTTATTAGATTTATAAATGACCACATAATTGTTCATTCTTTGACATGTTATATGTATGGATACTCTATAAGGTTAATCCTCTAATATTACAAAAATAATGATCACTAACGGAACAGTGACTACTATTTTAAATATATCTCTTGTTCAGAATGAAATGATAATGAGTGGAAAGATTATTTAATATAAGTATATAACTAATTCAATTACAGGGCATCAATATCTATATGAACCAATCAGCTCTAGTGATGTAGCTACACTTGTTTATACTAGTGGAACTACCGGCAATCCAAAAGGTGTTATGCTTACGCATTCAAATTTTCTTCATCAGGTTTCTACCTTTTCATTTTTTTCTATTAACCTTATATCACGTGGGAAATACAATTATTGACCTTAATAAAAACTAACTATAGTTTTTGAAAGTTGTATCATTTAAAAGTTAGTGCATTGGCCATCAAGAATCAAGAGTAAAACCATGCATCAATATACTTTTGTGCATGAACTTTGAGTGTTAATTACTCTTAGATATATACATGATATTGGTTTTAGGATCTTGTAAAATTTTCATTTTCAATTTACGAAAATGTTATTCAATTAGCTGATGCTTGACTAATTAATATTCTAGGAGCTCGTAATAATAATGTGCATGGAACTGATTGTATATTTCTCTCTTGCAATCAATACAATTATGCATGTTCTAATGCATGAGAGATACAATAGTTTAGTAGTATTGGGATCCTTGAGAAGGTATTCATACAACTAAAGGGAAAGAGAAAGACATAAATTCCCTAGTAACTCTCATGGTCAAGGAAGTACTAAGGGCTCCTTTTAGTCGCTCTCATGATCGAATAACAATCCAAAGTCATGCAAAAAAGAGTAACCAACCAAATAATCTCCTACCTCATCTCATCCTCACGGAGTTAGTGTGTGTGGATGTATCAAATAGGACCCTACAAGTCTCCTTGAGGGTCCAAATAAACAACTAAGAGCAATGCGGCCATCAATTTTTTTTTAGAAGAAATAGGCTTAAATTGATAACACATCATTCAAATAGTAGGTAAACCGACAAAAGGACTCTTGAAAACTGTCGTCCCTCGAACCAGACTCAGAGTTTATCACCTTGATAGAAGCAATATAAACCGCTGATCCATTAATGGGCACAAATGAGCCAAAGATGGTTAACGCAGTCCTTCCATCACCCATATCCAAATCCATTGTCTTACAGCAGAAAACAAAATACAAACGAAAGTAAATAGCATGATCCAGAAAATTAAAATAAATAAAAGCAAAAAAATAACAGTCTTGTCCCAGCTTTCCGATCACCACAATCCTCCACTTCCGTGGTGGCGGTTCAGGAGGAGGTCGGACCAACAGTACTGCATCTTCTTCCTCATTCCGCTTCTTGTCGGTCAAACTCCCTTTCATACTTTCATGTTGCCAAACGCCAATCCTCAACTCTTTGAGTCGTGAAGCGATGGACAAGCAAGCCATGACTGTCCACAATATGCAAATTAGAGAAACCAAAGCAAAAACCTGCACAACCAGCACACAATAGAATCCATCGCCTCTCTTCGTCGAGCCCCTATCTGTCTCACCAAGGCCGACCTCCCTCCGTCGTTCTTCCATCAAAATAGCCGTAAGATTGGGACGCCTAAACCGCAGCACTCCTTCCAGCCGTCTGCTAATCATCCTCACCGAGCTTCGCAAACCAAAGAAGAAGAAAACGCCGCTCCTCGACTTATGTCGATAGCGGAAAAGTGACCCTAGCGGCTAAAAGCCCTAGGACGACAACACCGGTGCCGTAATCGCTGGGCGATCACCACCGGATGAGCTGAAACTAAGCGTTTCCTAATCGGAAACCCTAGAGAGATGTTATTGCGGCCATCAAATTCTTAGAAATTCAAAGAAACATTTTCACAAACACATTGTGTGCATAGTAATATTTCTCAAATTCCACCAAACTGAACCTCAAAACCTATGAAATCACATTGTTGGGTGATCCCTTTCCACCCCCAATTCCTAATTTTACTAATCACTCATGGTTGAATACAAATCCACACAAGATATGCAACCCATAATCATGAAATGAAGTAGATGCGCAAGATAGCAAACATATAGAGACAATGTAATCTAATATATTAAATGCAATAAGAACAATGATTTGATGTAAGGGAAATTTAGAAATGTAATATAAAAGATGGTATTTATACAATAGAAAAATCGGGGAAACGTCGGGAGGGAACGTCATCCTTATAGGATGAATGCAGGGAGGAACATTGACTAGAACGTCGTTCTTGTAGCAATGATGGTAGAAATTTTGTTCCCTTCCGACGTTCCTCCACCCAAAACCAAAAAAAAAATCCGAGGAGTGAAACTGTGAAAGGAGGAACGCTGGGGAGGGACAACGTTCCTAAGGATGGTTCCGACCGAAACTCCTATGATACTTCCATTTCTTACTTTTTGTGCCCCGCTTCATATTTAAGGTCTTCAAATCATTCATCTATGCTCACGAGACTCCTCCAAATACTCGTTTTCACCCCCCAACGATGCTCAAATCATCCCCGTGGTTCCTGCAAATAAAAATATTGCAAAAATAAAGCGAAAAGGGAAAGAAATCACCAAAAGTTGAGAAATAGAGACCAAAGTATATGAGGAAGTGTTAGATGTTTTCACACCTATCACTTCCCTACCAAAACAAGAAGTACTATTTTTATTGTTTAATACACTAAGAGTTTGATTCTATACTTTGTTAGAATTGAGAGATGTGAGGTATGGATGAAAACAAAATAAAGAAAGAACAGAAGAACTATATTATAATATTACAATGATGCGATGTAGATCGATATTATTTATTTCTCTTGTTTTCATTTTATTAGAAATATCCTTAGGGTTATTCCCTATATGGCTTGTTCCCTAATAGGACATACATTTGCATGTATCCACAATCGGATGGGACTTGACTATGTTCCTTTTATAGATTTTGAATCTGCGAGATTTTTTACCTTTTGCACCTGAGGATATATTCTTGACAATGCTTCCTCCTTGGCATGCGTACGAACGTTCTGCTGAATATTTTGCCCTCTCTTTCGGATGCAAGTTAGTATATACCACAGTAAAAAACATGAAGGTATAATTTCGATTTGTTAATTTCACTGAATTTCATCTTTCCTAGCATTAATTACTCAAATATATTAGTATGGATATGACATTGTCATGGTCAACCCTCTAATTGTACAACCCTTGACAAAATATGTTTTTCACTTTAAAGACTCTTTATTCTCACTTTGAGATCATTATGCATGTTGTGATGACTAGTAACTTAACAATTGACAAAACATGACCATGTTTACGTGTGAAATATATTGAAACACATCGGGACAAGGTGTTCTCCTAGACCCCCCCCCCCCCCCCAAACACAAGTTTATATAACATAATATTCCAAAAGTTGAAATGGGCATCATTTAGAACAATTTTAATTAAACTTAAAAAATATATTTCTAAAATAGATGTTGGTGGATGATTTTTTAGATAATACTATATCTATTTTAAATTTATTTGCAGAAATGCTTACTTTCATACTTCATATGTGATCATGCTCATATTTTCAAGTGTTCATTTACATCTCATCACTATACATATAATGATCTCATTCGAGGTGAGATTAAATAACTTATGAAGTGAAAAATCTATCACGTCAAAGGTTGTACAATTAGAAGTCATACTTTTAAAAGTAAAAATGATGTTATTTAGCACTCATTAAGGATATCGTAGAGTATTTTTTAAGTGAGAGGGTGTAAGTGGTAAAACATCAAATTTCAATGGAGGTCAATGATATATTCTTACTTAGATGTTCTACCCAATTTGTAATTTTGAGAGTCTTTTATTAATTTAAGGAATGAATATTTCTAAATTCTGATTCATTTCATTCATATTTTAGGATGATTTAAAACATTTTAAGCCGCAATACCTCTTATCAGTTCCTTTGGTATATGAGTCACTATACAGGTAAAGATACACCATTAAATTTTATTTATTTCAGTGATGAATGTTTATACATATATAATTTTCTAAAGTTTTAATTGAGTGCATTAGTAGCACCTTTCAATCTAACATATATATTATGTCTATTATATTATTTCATACAGAGTATGAACTTACGTATTTAGTCAAAATAAAAAGGCTAAAGTCAAAATAAAAAGGCTAAAGTGTCAAATAGACCCCTCTATCCTTCTGAATTGCTCAATTCCCCCCCGAACTAAAAAAACTCCAATTGGCACCCTGAACTCAATAAAAAGATTCAAATTTCACTTCTTGCAGGTCACAATCCGGTCACTGCCACGTCACCCGGTAGGGTTCCAACTGTGCATGTGACGTGGCAACTTAAGTGATCAAATAAGCCCTTCAACCTGATTAAATCGTTCAATTCACCCCCTCAACTTTTTAATAACATCAAAATTATGAAAAATAGAAATAAAAATAAAAATAGAAAATTAAAAATAGAATAAAAAATAAGTCGATAATATAAAAATATAAATATGAAATATTTTTTGGGAAAATCGCATATATGGTCCCTCAGTTATCCACGAAATTAAAATCTCAGACCTGTATTTATGAGATTGTAAATGTCACCCCTCAATTGTCCAAAATGCTGTAAATGTGGTCCTTTTGAGGGGTAAAATATACAATGTGGGCGAGAGTACATTTGACCACTTAAAGGATCACATTAACAACAATTTGGACAATTGAGGGGTGATATTTACAATCTCAGAAATAAAGGTCTGAGATTTTAATTTCGTAGATAACTGAGGGACCATATATGCGATTTTCCCATATTGTTTTTGGTATATTCAAAATAAACAAATAAAATATAAACAAAAAAACTAATTCTTATATATAATGAGTAAAAAAGACTTCAATATATTTACAATAAATATTATAAATATGTAGTTCCTATTTTTATATTTTAATTCTTATATATGAGTAATTTTTATATTACTATAGATATAAAAAAGTGTAATTAGTAACTTAAAAAATAGTTACATACAAATTGTATATTTATTTTTAGTATATTTTTAAATAAATTTAAAAATATGAAATGCAAAAATACAAATGGATAATTTAAGCATAATGCTTCATATAAATTATCAAACCAAAAACCAAAAATTTGTGTCATATACAAACCATTAGATATAATACATAAAATAAAAATTTAAATATTTTTGGTAAAAATAAATTATTTATTTCTTATATGAAATATATGTAGTAGTTATAAAATATGGAAATAAAGTTAAAGAATATTTTTAGTTTATATTTATTTTTTATTTTTTATTTACCGTAAACGATAAATATTTCACATTAATATATTTTTTATTTTCAACATGTATTTTATTTATAATTTTATTTATTATTAATTATTTATTATTAGTTATTTTTTATTTTTTTTTTAAATTTTGACATATTTTAGGGTTGAGGGGGTAAATTGAGCGATTCAGTCGGTTTCATGGGCTTATTTGACCTCTTAAGTTGTCACATCACATGCACAGTTGACACCTTACCGGATGACAAGGTGGTGACCGGATTGAAACATGCAAAAAGTGAAATTTGGATCTTTTTATCTAGTTCAGGGTGTCAATCGAGCTTTTTTGGGTTGAGGGGGCAAATTGAGCAACCCAGAAGGGTACAAGGACCTATTTGACTCTTTAGCCAAATAAAAATAGTAAGACCTGTGTTTTATGTACTTTATGCATATGACAGATGCATTCTTTTTCTTTGTGGTGTAATGGTGCATCTTTGTTTTACGTACTTGCAGCGGAATTTTGAAGCAAATTAATAGAAGTGGCCCTACTGAGAAGCTCATTGCCTTGTTTTTTTTAAACATCAGTTTGACATACAAGGAGGCTAAGAGGATATATGAGGTTTACCATTAACATTGTAGTTCTTTCAATTCGGATGTGCTTGAATTTCATTAATAATTACGGTGTTAAACTTTGGTTAGCATCAACATTCATATTCTTACAAATCTCCAGCTTTAACCAAAATGCTGCAAACTATGTGTGTAAATTGTAAAATGGTGTACATGATTTTCACTGATATTTTGTGTTTCAGGGGAGATGCTTAACAAAAGACCAGAAACAACCTTCTTATCTTATTTCAGCTTTAGAGTGGTTACGGACTAGAGCAATTGCTGCACTATTGTCTCCACTGCATCTGGTGGCGAGGAAAATAATTTATAGTAAATTTCACACAAATATTGGCATATCTGAGGTTTGATTGATATAGCATACATTGTTTAAAATAATAACATACTTCCTCGTTCCGAAAAGGTTCGCCAAATTGACTTTTCTCGGTCAATGACAATCAACTTTGACCAGTGATATTTTTTAATACGAAAATTATTTTGAATATGAAAATTATATAAAAATGTTCCTTATTCAAAATATTTCCATAAAAGTATAAAATTTATAAAATTACATACAAATATAATAATTAAAATTAATGTCCAAAGTTTGTCATCAATGATGACCAAGAAAAGTCAATATGACAAACCTTTTCGGGACAGAGGTAGTACCATATTATAAGTTCAGTGTTCATAAGTTACAATACTACCACGCATGTGTCACCTCCTATTTTAACTGTGCCAAAATTATTACCAATTTTGACCTAGCACAAGATTTAATAAAGTGAAATTGCGTGGTTTAGATGTTTTTGAAGAGGGAGAATTATTTTGAACCAAATATTGATTTCCACGAAAGAAATGGACATTAATTTTGGGACAAGCAAAAAGTATTACAAAGTGAAAAGATAATCTATGGTGAGAGTTTCGATCTTATAGCTTTTAAAGAAATTTGTGATATATGGTGCATTCCAATGGGCTTCTTATTTTGTCGGCAAAACCTTTCCATATTTCATTCTTTTGTAAAATGAGTTACATAAAAATTGAATATATTAGCGATGAGCCTAAAAATCAAGACCTAGCGTCCATACTAATTAAATAGCCAACATTACAATATTATGGTAAACTAATAGTGTTTATTCGATATTCATGTATGATCCCAAGATGTTTGGGAGAACTAAGAAGCACCTTCAAGATCACTTCTAAAACTAGTAGATTGGGTCATAATTTTGTGCATTCAAATGATGACATATAAGTTTATCTCATTAGTTTGAAGCAATGTTCTAAAAGGCGCTAGGTGCTAGGCGGGCGCCAGCCCAGCGCCTAGCGCCTAGGCGCCTAGGCGGGAACTAGTCGGAGACATAGAAATTACATTTTTATCTATAATTTTGCATAAATATGATAAGTAATATTGTATTTTTGTGTGTATAAAATACATATACACACATACATGAATGATAATAACTAATCACTTTTCATTATGTTATAAATGCAAATAATAATAAAATTTAGGTATATATAAACATATATAGTTTTTATCTTAATTGACAACTTCATTTCTTTATATCCGTGACTAAAGTTAAAATATGTGTATCACTTAGAAAATTAAAATTAAAAAGTAAATTAATGTTCGGCAAATCTAGACGGTCTAGGTGGCCGATTAGGCGCTCCATGCGGACAACTAAGTGTCATAGGCGGCCGGCTAATTCACATATACGGCAAACCAATTAGTTGGAGCGCCTAGACAAAAATCAGGGCGCCCGGCCTCCGCCTAGCCTAGGCAGGGACTAGTTGGACGCCTAGAACAATTTTTAGAACAGAGGTTTGAAGCACATGTTATGATTTGAGACAACTTGACATTAGAGGTTGGTCTAACACCTGATTTTGGTGCTTAGATCAAAGTTAATTTGCTAGTGGAAATCTGAACGAATTTATTGTGTGGTGAAATCACACTCATCTTTCCAACAATTACAAAACCGGTAAATTAAGTTCAAATCAAGAAATATTATGAAGTTAAAGTACAAATATTATTTCATCAATTCTACACAATTATTTTTATACTTCTATTTTAAAATTTTGGGTGTACATGAACACTTTGGAACCAATATGGGTCCACCACTACTTGATATAGTTGTGGACAAGATGTTATCGTCTTCTCAAAACGAGAAACTCTTTAAAAATAAAAGTGAGAAGAGGCATATGAAGTAAAAGTGAGACAACATTATCCAACATAATTTTATCTATAAGGCTCCGTACTTTATTAAATACGGGCTTGAAATTTGTAAATAAAATATGACATAGACACATAAGAGAACGAGTCATGCACCAAAAAGTTTTGATGAAAAGAATTGAAATGCATTGTTCTTGAGAGGAAACTGATATGGTGCATGAATCGATGCCCCTAAAAATCTCTAGGGGTAATGAGTAACAAAATATAGATGTCCTTTAATTTCAAAAAAAAAAACAGACGTTAATTTATTAACCACCTTGGTAATTTATAGGCCGGGTTAAGCGGAGGTGGTAGCCTTTCTTCTCATGTTGACAAGTTCTTCGAGGTTTGGTGCTTTTATCGTTATGGCTACTAAAGTTATGTTCTTAGTTCTACCTTCTCATTTAAAATTCATTATCATACAGGCAATTGACCTAACGATACAAAATGGATATGGTTTAACAGAAACGTCTCCTGTTGTTGCTTCTAGGCATCCAAACTGCACGGTAAGTTCACACATTGAATTGAAAATTTGCACTCAAGTCCTCCTCTGTTCACCCCACTGAATGTATGTTTTTGCTTAAATCTACTTTACTTTATTTTATGTTGTTGTTAGACTAAGTGAGGAGGAATCCTACAAATTTACTCTTCCCTCAAACTGAGAACAAATGCATAACTCACTTGTAGGAACTATCATTTCCTTCTATTCTTTTGTTTCTTTTTTGAATTGATGCTTCCTAACCTTGCCTACCTCCCTTCACCAATAGATAATTGAGCCTTGGTCTACCGCTACCAATCTAGCACCTATTTTTTTTGCATACTACTCCGTATTAAATTTTTATATGTTGCTATATCTTTCAATGTGAGTTAATCGTTTCCTATATAAATTGTTATGTTTAGTGTGATCGTTAAAAATTTTATGGTTACAGATCCTTGGCTCAGTTGGAGTTCCTGCCCGATACACAGAAATAAAAGTTGTAGATGTTGAAACAGATAAGGTCCTCCCCCATGGTTCAAAAGGCATTGTCAAAGTCAAGGGACCGCAAGTTATGAAGGGCTACTACAAGGTCAGTCAAACGTAACTAACCAAACAAATATTTTGACAATATCTCTTTTAAATACCTCTTTTTAATCTTATCTTTTGACAATATCGGTGTTTTGAATTTTTCATTCCAACTCTTCGGCTTTATCATATTTGAAGCAACATTAGATCATATGCACATATTTAGTTTTTGTCATGTTTTGTTGCTTATACATAGATCAATTGTTAACCATATACTTTTTCTAGTTAAATGTTTTATTCATTATGAGCGTTCCTTACATGTTTAGAATCCAATGGCAACAAAGCAAGCCATTGATGAGAATGGATGGCTAAATACTGGCGATCTTGGATGGATTGTTCCTCATCATTCGATAGGCCCGTCCCGCAATGCTTCAGGTGTTATTGTTCTTGAAGGTCGTGCCAAGGACACTATAGTACTTTCATCAGGTCATTGTTTAACAGCGCCAAGGCTTTTATATTTGAAACTTTAAAATAAAGTTTATTTAACAACCAATATATATATATATATATACATGCAATGGATAGGTGAAAACGTTGAACCATCTCAGATTGAAGAAGCTGCAATGAGTAGCAATTTAATTCAACATATTGTTGTCATTGGTCAAGTACGTTATAGATTGATATTTTATTTCACTAACATATTTTGACTAGTTCAGAGTGAATACACACTACCGGCATTCATTACATTTTCTGTAATTTTTAGGATAAACGACGTCTTGGGGCCATTGTTGTACCACATAAGGAGGAGGTACTTTCTGCTGCAAAAAGATCATTTGTTGTTGATTCTGATGCCACCGAAGTTAGCAAGGAGAAAACAACCAAACTAATACGTGAAGAACTAAAAAAATGGTAAGGCTTTTATGTTAGCAAATCTTTTAATTGTTTATCACCTTTTAGTTTTAAGGGCTTGTTTGCTCTAAGAATTTCGTAGACAAAGGGTGGGAGGTTTGAGTCTTATTTTATGAGTTTATGTTTATTTGATAGTTTATGGCTATAAATAAATACTCCTTTCATCACATATAATTTAGCCAAGTTCAAGCGACATATGGAATAATAAAGTAAAAAAATTGTAATGGACCTTTGTGCAAAAGAGGGCATTATTAATAGCCAAATATTAATTACGTAAAAAGAAAAGTGACTAAATTTTGAAACAATCAAAACAAGAAAGTTGATTAAATTATAAGGGACAGAGAGAGCATATGATTAGTTAAATCATATATTAAATTTTATCTTCTCTATGTGAAAATAATTTAAAAATAAGTACCAACCGGATCATTCCTTTTACTGTCAAATCCCTTAACCAAAGTTTCAAAAACTGAACTACACAATGCAAGTAATGGACTAACCATTTGTCTCTTGCTTACCTTTGTTCAGGACCACGAGTTGCACTTTCAAAATCGGGCCACTTCTCATTGTTGATGAGCCTTTTACGGTAAAGAGTATTGCAAGTTGAGCCATTCACTTTCCAATTCAATAAATTTGTGGTTCGCTTAGAGATTTTCTTTCTCGCTATGCAGATTGATAATGGTTTATTGACTCCAACAATGAAAGTCAAGAGAGATAAAGTAGCAGATCTATACAAAGAGCAAATAGACAAATTATATAAGTGAATTTTTAAAACTCAAATGAATATGTTTGTAACACTAAATTAAAGCTTTAATGACAACTTAATGGCATCTTAGAAATATTAACTATTGTGGGTGTCCATGCTATGTAATAAGTGCATTTGTTTAACGCATGTTAGCCATTTGATCCAACAAAAATCACAGATTGTTTATCAATCATTAAAAATGCATATAAAGCATTAACCACATCAAATATTATAAATTAATATATAAATCTATTAACTATAAAAATTAACTATGCCGCACAATTTGAATTTTCATGAAAATAGTATAAATCAACACAAAAGTATATATATAATTTTTCATGAACAATAACATAATCTTAGAACTACAGATTGTAAATAATTTTTTCATACCAATAATCCAACATCTAAATGCCATTTCTTTAATTTTTCACTTTCAATCATTTATATAATATTTGATTCTTCATGAAGTTTTATCAATTACACTTTCAAAATAAAAGAAATATTACAACTACAAGGTTCGTACTCCAATATAAAACTGGCTGGATAAGGAAAAGAATTACTCACTGGTCGGTACAAAAGTAATGGTGTCAAATTTAAATTGCTCGTTTGGTAGATAGGAAAAGTTTAGTGTAAATGACCCATTTTGTAGTTTTAGATTAATGTATACGAAGTATTTTGAAACTAATAATGGAACAACGTAACCTCCTTATGTTCAATATGAGTGATATTCATTGATACTTGAATCATTTGCAACCTCCTCATATTCAATATGTAATATCCATGGATAGTTGAGTCATCGGCAACCTCAATAATATTTATTTCTATCTAGAAAAATGCCCCTTATGTTGGGGAAACATATGTATTTTTTATGATACCGAACACCAAATATCAGTACAAACTAAATATGTTGGATTGACCAAAATACGAAGTATTCTACAATCAGCCTAAAAGATAACTTGTGCTGTCAAATAGAAACACAACAACTGATTGCTGATGATTGCTACCACCACTGTTGAATTGCCACCGGTCTTAGGTCGATAGCCAAGTTTGTTGACCGCCATCACAAACCCCAAATGATCATACCTGATGACCGCACAATATATGTGAAAATCTGTAACTAATGATGTTAAATAAGGTTCAGAAGTTATGTCAAGAAAAACTGTAACTAATGCTGTCAAGTTACATTGCTTCCAACATGTAACTCCTCCATTCGTAATGAAAAATCCCGCAATCAATAAAAGAAATGCACTCAAAGACATTTTTATAGTTGTATATAATTCAGAGTAATAAATCACTATACGAAATAACGGAATTATAACACAGATTCGTCACACATTGACACAAAAATTTGGCACGACTTTGTGCCAAATAAATTGTGACAAAATAAATTTGATAATGATTTTAAAGGGTCTGTGAATCCATTCTCTATGCGTGTGAATTTCGTGCCAAAGTTGTTGTTACAACCTATTTGGCACAATTTTGTGTAAGAAAATCAATGCCAAATCCATATCTACAGTGGATAATACAGAATCTCATGTGTCCTTGGACTATTTACATATCTTGTTATCTTTGATTTATCCCTTTAAAAAAGATACGTGTAACACACTCCCTCAGTCTCATAGTGTAAGATACATGTGAGTTTAGTGACCCACATTTCTTTAAGAAAATAATGGATAAAATTATTGTTGTACACTTCAAGCCTCCAAAAAGTAAGTCATGACCCACAAAATCTAAAAGATGAAATGATAGAAAAAAGAATAAAGTGAGAAAGTAAGAATTTAGTAAAGTTCAATTCAAGAAAGTGTGTTTTATAAACGGGAACATAGACAATACTTCTTTCTCTTTTTAGTAAATACTAGTATAGTATTTGTTCGATGTTCGATGCATAAATTTGTTTGTAAGTTAAATACTATCGTAATAAGTATTTGACGGTAAAAATGTGTTAAACTGTGTAATTAAATTGCGAAAAAATTGATAGTAACAATCCCAACTATTGGCGGTCTGCTCATAATAATTCCAACTATCGATTATTTCAGAATAATCCCAACCTTAGGGACCTTCCGCCAATAATGGTGCGACGTGACCGGCTACCTGTTTAGCCAATTAAAAAAAATACCATATTATAATAATCCGAACTATCATCTGTCGACTTCTGATAGACCCAAAAAAAATCCATAAATAAATAGAAAGGGTTAAAAAGATTATAAAATTTAATTTTACTTGATTAAATTTTTTAGGTAGCTTGTAGAATTAAAAAATATAAAATATATAATTATAGAATATGTAAAAACTTATATGAATTACAAAGTTAAAATTTCATAACATGTAAGACATTTAAAAGGATAGTAAAATGGTCAATATAAAAACTTTAAAGGATAAAAAAAATTCAAATTAAGTACGAATCCAAATTACAAAAATGAAAACCTTGATTTTCAAAATTAAGAAAGTGAAAAAGATTAAAATACTAATACTTATTTTGAAAATATTTAAAAAAACTTAAAAGCTAGTCATCCTAAAATATTAAATCATTTTAAACTAGTTAAAAATTAATAAAAACTGTTAATTGTAAAAGAATTCAAAAATGGTTATTTATCAAAAAAATCTGAGAATAAAAATAAAAAATGAAATGTAATTTTTTTATTTCTAAATTCAACACGTTTTTATATTTCGTTAAAATTTCATTAATAAAATTTAAAATCTAAAATTTAAATAATTGTTTCTACTTTTTGTAAAAAAATTAGGTTGAAGTTGGGATTATTAAAAGAAGAGTGAGCATAGTTCAGATTATTTATAGAATAAGCTTAATTTCTATTAAAAATTGACCTGTTATAGCAGGTAGTAACCGATCATGGACCATTATTGGCGGATGGTCCATATAGTTGGGATTATACAAAAATAATCAATATTTGAGATTATTATTAGCGGACCGGCAATAGTTGGGATTATTATTTTCAATTTTATAGATCACAATAATATTTAAAAACAAATTGCAATATATAAGTTGATATGTGATAGAATGTAAGTGATGGCTTCACCGACCTCGGGGTGGTAAAACCGAGGGACAATTGGAGAAACGCTAAGTATACACCAAGTAAGAAATTTGATAGAGTAACATCAAGGTTGAAAATAAAGAATGTGATCATTTTCCACAAGTTGGAAAGTGATATTTATAGTATACAAGAAAATACTTGGGGAATAAGTAAAAATAATTGCCCCGCTAGTCTAATGACACATGTAAAGCTAATTGGAGAGATAATCTAATTAATTAGTATTGGCGTACTGGACTAGCTGGATAGGCCAGATGTGTAAGTCTGACAGCTAGCATAATCCTTGATGTTTGGGATATCCAAGTGTTGAAATGTCTAAGTCCACATTCTTTGAATGAGGTTCTGAGCTCGGTTGCAGAGCTCGAGCTCGAATGTAATGTGTTAGCTAAGAGGTTAGTAAGGTCAGTAACCTTAGTTCATAATATGAAACATGAATGTCTTTATTGATTTTTAAACTCGTAGTGTGGTAGTGGGTTTGGAGCTCGACCATAGTGCTGGAAATGTGACCAACTCCCGACAATAAATTATATTTTTTTTTTGTTTTTCATCTCTGTAATGTGCATTGTTTTGTTTGTAGTCCATGTCTAACTCCAAAATAACTCCATTTAGACAAACATTGTTGTTGGTTCATAAACCAACTATATGGTTTTAAATTTGTTTTTTATAACTTTTTTATGCTAATATGAGAGTTAAAAAATCGAAAAAATAATTATTCGTATTTTATAAATATGTATTAAAACCCTTCTAAAAATTAAAATTAAATAATGTTTGAATATAATGACAAACAATTAGAGGAAATCCATTAGTCATCATAGTTTCATTGTAACACAGAGGTTGTTATGATCCGTGATGAGCTAAAAAAAACCAACTCAACTTTCAAAGATGAAACAATTTAGTTTGCAGGGATATAAAACAAAATATAATATATTTATAGGGACTAATAATGTGTTCAAACCAAACAAAAACTATATGTTTCTTATTCTTGAAATAATTTAATTTGAATAATCATTGCAGTTATGACTTATTTAATTTAAAATATAAACATTAACTATATATATGTCCAAAGAAAACTGAAAACTAGAAAACCAAATTGAAATCTCCGATTTCAAAACCGATTTTGAATCCGGTTTGATTGGGAACCTTATGTATAGCTAAAATGTAAAAAAGAGAGAGGAGAAGACTTGTACTCTATTAGCCTCAATTTGATTTGCAAAATTTTCTTTTTTAGTGATTTAAAAATTTGTCTATATTTAGTGTGAACCGCTGAATAAAATCACTAATTATTCATTCACGTAAATGTTTCACAAAGATGACACTTTATTTCTGAGAATCACTGAATCGGTCGTACTTTTATATGAAAGGACGTTAATTAAGTGATCACCTTTAATAGAAGGAGACTAAAATTATGACACAAATCTTTGCTTTCAATTAACCTTGAGACCTTTGTAGCATCTCTTTGAACATGTAAATATTTCTCATGTTCCAAAAGGTTGAATCCCCAATTCTTATGGGGTTTTCACGCCTGTTACGACCCCGACAGAGTATATGGGAGCATGTAAATTACCGCGGAGACTCGATGTGGGTCACTTGTTCCTAAGCGTTTCTCGTCTCTACTTGTTCCTAAGTGAAAACAAAAAATCTATTTGTACCCACTTTTGTACCAACCCCCCTATTTTGTCTGTGCACACAGGCAATTCGTTAAGAAGAAGGCAACATCTTGTCTGTGTTTGTTTGTGTACACAGACAAAATAAGGGGTGAGTACAAATGTGTGTTCAAAAGTGGTTACAAAAGTGGAAAAGAGTATAAACATGATTCGTTCGTTTCTTTAATGGTTGTGAGACACTGAGAGTGTACTCAATGACCAGAATTAAAAGGGGCTCTATAGCTCGGAAACGTCGAACAAAAATATGACTGGTGAAAGTTGTGGTGGTGACGACGACGGCCGATGGACGGGCAGTCACTGGGGTCGGTGGGCCGGAGTCACCGTGACCGGAGCGGCGGTGCCGGTGACAGAGGCGGAGGTGCCGGTGACGGTGACAGTGCTGGGATTGACGGTCACAAATGTGGTGGTGGCTACAAAGAAATATTATTAAAATAATAAATATATGATTAAATATAG